GCTGAGCTCACGAGAGGCATGTGATGTGGGCCCAGGGGCATGCAAGATGCCAATAGCTGCAGAGGGCCAGACTTTCAGAGGCAGATGTCAGAGCCAGGGAACTGGGAGGAAGTTATCTGTGGAGGCAGTACCGGGATGGGATGTCTCAGAAGAAGGACGGGTCTTAGGAAGAATCAGTGTCTCAAGGGTCCAGACCAGAGGACTAGTTGGGAGGGGGAGGGGGAAGCCACCACAAGGCCAAGGGAGTAGTGTCTGAGAATAGGTTGGTGAGACAGTGGGGGACCTGGGTTTGGGTCATCCAGGAGGCTGCTGGATGCACAGGCTTGAAGCCAGGGAGAGACTAAAGAGCCATCTTGCCCCAGGTGACAGGTGAAACTGTCCAGTGTATGTAGTCAGTGCAGAGGACAAGGCTGAGGACTGGCCCTGGGAACACCCTTATTTGTAAAGACACCAGGAGAGGAAAAAAGGCCTATTCGTGTCCGAGAGACAGAAAGTGGAAGGAAACCAGAAATGCACGAAGGAGGGAGCAGCAGACCAGGTGATAGGCTGCCTGAAGGCGAGTAAGGTGAGGACCAGGAGACCAAGATTGCTCAATGTGGAAGGACTCTGGAGACCCAAAGACCACCGCGGCCGTCCAGGGCAAGCAGTGAGTAGATCTCTGTGGATAAGTTTTGCCGGGAATGATGGAAGAGAACAGAGCAGGCGAAGGAGGGGTGGGGGCTGCTGGTTCTGATGAAACTCTGTGCTCCCAGGATCACCCAGCAGAGGGTCAGGCTCACAGGGCATCTCAAAACGTTTGTTGAGTGAATGCATGCCTGCAGGCATGAATGAATGAACGAGTGAACGGGGCAGAGAAATAGAAGGAGAGAGAGAGGTGTACAGACAGAGACAAAAGACAGAGCACCAAGTTGTAGCTGATAGTGCTTCACAGCTGAGAAAAAAAGGTTCTGTCATCTAAGTCAGCTTTGCAAATTCCTTCTTCAGAAAGCAATGAACCGGGAAAGCCAATTGCGATGGTGTCTCAACTCAACACAGCTGATATCCTCGCCCATTTTTGTTGCCTGGTTTGATGAGCCCAACAAGAAATGGTATGGGGCCCTTGGGTGGTTCAGTTGGTTAAACGTCTGACTCTTGATGTCGGTTCAGATCATGATCTCAAGGTTCATGAGTTCAAGCCCTGAGTCAGGCTCTCTGCTGTCAGCGTAGAGCCCACTTCCGATCCTCCAGATCCCAGTCTCTCTCTGCCCCTCCCCATCTTGTGGGTGCAAATGAGGTCTCTCTCTCCAAAAAAATAGACATTATAAAAAGGGGAAGCGGTATGTAGACAGGTAGCTTCCTCCTAGCCCCATTTTTCAGATGAACAAACTGAGGTCAAACCAAAGCCTGATGATGATCCCCAGGGAGTCATGGCATGAGCTGAGCTTTCAGCCGTGTGTATGATTCCAAAAGCTGTCCTTCTTCTTTGAAGCCTGTAGGACCATTCATACGTTCCTCTGTTCACACCTGTACTCGTTCAGGTAGCCATTCATTTGTTCATTCATATGTTTGGATAGGGGCTCTGGAGCCAACTGGCTGGGTTCAAACTCTGGTTCTGGTACTTGCCAACCACGTGGCTGTGGGCAAGTGACATTATCTAGTCCTGCCTCTGTTTCCACGTCTAAGACAGTCTCCATGTTGTAGGCCCTCTCCCCAGGTGTCAGGGTGGCCGCGTTCTCTCTAGGGAACAGCCTTCATATTGAGTTTACCATGGTGCCCAAGAGGAAAACGTGGAGCTTGGGACTTGAGAGCACTGTGGGCTCCCTGGAGGAGGTGGCAAAGGGGCTCCGAGCTGAGTGCGAGAGGTGTGAGAGTGAAGCTGCAAGCCAGTCTGTGCCCTCTTTGAGCCTCCAGCTGCAAAAGAAGGGACTGGCTTTTTCCAGAAGCCACAAGTCTGCAAGTCTGTGTCAAAAGAGAACCACTGAGAAGCCACTCCCCACTCCGTACAGCTCCAGCACCATTAATCTGCTTTGTGTCTCTATGGGTGAGCCTGTTCCGGACGTTCGTATACATGGCGTCATATAACATGTGGCCTTTGTGATGGACGTCTTTCAGCTAGTATAGTGTTTTCTTTTTTCTTTCTTTTTAAATGTTTATTTATTTTTGAGAGAGAGAGAGAGACTCAGCATGAGCAGGAGAGGGGCAGAGAGAGAGGGAGACACAGAATCTGAAGCAGGCTCCAGGCTCTGAGCTGTCAACCCAGAGCCCGACGCAGGGCTTGAACTCACGAGCGATGAGATCATGACCTGAGCCAAAGTCGGCCACTTAACGGATTGAGCCAACCAGGTGCCCCAAGCATAGTGTTTTTAATGTTCATCCACGTTGTAGCCAGTGGTAGTGTATCTCTCCTTTTTATGACTGAATAATACTCCAGAGTATGGATAGACCACATTTTATCAATCCATTCATCATGTGATGGACATCAGCCTAATGGAGATAGAGTCTCTTCTGGGGCTGATGAAAATGTCCTGGAATTAAATTGTGGTGATGGTTACACAGTGTTTTGAGTATGGTGGACCTCACTGAAGTGTGGACTTTAAAATGGTTCAGGGCTGGGGCGCCTGGGTGGCGCAGTCGGTTGGGCGTCCGACTTCAGCCAGGTCACGATCTCACGGTCCGTGAGTTCGAGCCCCGCATCGGGCTCTGGGCTGGTGGCTCGGAGCCTGGAGCCTGTTTCCGATTCTGTGTCTCCCTCTCTCTCTGCCCCTCCCCCGTTCATGCTCTGTCTCTCTCTGTCCCAAAAATAAATAAAAAACGTTGAAAAAAAAATTTAAAAAAAAAAATAAATAAATAAATAAATAAAATGGTTCAGGGGGCGCCTGGGTGGCTCAGTCGGTTGAGCATCCGACTTCGGCTCAGGTCATGATCTCGTGGTCCGTGGGTTCAAGCCCCGTGTCGGGCTCTGTGCTGACAGCCCAGAGCCTGGAGCCTGTTTCGGATTCTGTGTCTCCCTCTTTCTCTGCCCCTCCCCTGTTCATGCTCTCTCTCTGTCTCAAAAATAAATAAATGTTAAAACAATTAAAAAAATAAAATAAAATAAAATAAAATAAAATAAAATGGTTCAGGCACTGGATTTTATGTTGTGAGTTTTATTTAAAAAAAAAAATCAAGGCAGGGCGCGCCTGGGTCGCTCAGTCAGTTGAGTGTCCAACTTTAGCTCAGGTGATGATTTCATGGTTCATGAGCTCTCTGCTGTCAGCCAGGAGCCTGCTTGGGATCCTGTGTCCCCCTCTCTCTCTGCCTTCCCCTGCTGGCACTCTCTGTCTCAAAAATAAGTAAACATTTTAAAAAATAAATTAAAAAATAAAGGCAGAAAGAGAAAAGAAGACAGAGAGAGTGGGATTTAGACGCTTTGTTTTCTTGCCAATATTTGAAAATCAGAAAACGTCCCACCATGAGTCTGGATTTCCATCTTCTCTTGAAAAGCCATGGAACTTGACCATGCTTGTACGTGTTCTGGAGGGCAGCCCCTGACTGGAGCTAAGGGTGAATTTTATTCCATGTAAATTGCACCTCAATAAACCCAACCCTCCAGGAATCCAGAAGTAGAGAGGGATTCAGTTAGGTGATTTGTCTCAAAACAAATCAAAAGCTGAAGATTTGTGGGGCGCCTGGCTGCCTCAGTCGGTGGAGCATGTGACTCTTGATTTCGGCTCAGGTCATGATCTCGAGGTTCACGGGTTCAAGCCCCACAATGGGGCTGACAGTGCAGAGCCTGCTTGGGATTCTCTCCCTCCCTCTCTCTGTTCCTCCACTGCTCATGCTCTCTCTCTCTCTCTCTCTCTCTCTCTCAAACTAAATAAAATTTAAAAAATTTTTAATAAACTTAAAAAAAAAAGAAAGTAAAAGCTGAAGATATGTGATTATGAAATCAGAGAAGGAAAGAGATCCAAGACCGAAGAGAAGGTGATGGACTGAAAGGCAGGAGTAAAGGGGGAGGGTCTTCTTCTGTTTCCTCCCACTCCCTCTGCCTCTGACCACCTTCCCTCTCAACTTCCTCCCCTCTGAGTGTCTGTCTCTCTCTCTCTCTCTCTCTCTCTCTCCCTTCCTCCCTCACAGGTGAAGCAAAAACTCAGATGAACCAGCACAGACTGTCCTGTCCCTGGCTCTCTCTCGGTCCCCTGTTTCCCTTTCTTTCCCAGTGGAAGCCCTCACGCAAGACAAAAAATAAATAAATAACTTTCATGTAATTAGATAAATCGGCCACATGCAGATAGGAAAAGTGGGCTTCACAGGGAAGAGGGTCGACCGTGCATTTAAAAAATTCAGTTAGAATCAGACTCTGCAGAACCCAGCTTGGAAACCTCTTCAGTCTCTTTCTGATCATCTATTTCGAAATCCCTTCCTTCTCTTCTCAGTCTGGGCTCTCTCAGCTCTGGCTTTCCCAGCCTCTCCCTTCCACTCTCCTGTGCTCTTAAACACTCACCCTCCTGCCTCTTCCCTGCACACCGCGGGG